ACATGGAATAAAACATGAACAAACATTTTCTGAAGGTTAAAATATTTATCATAAAGGACTTGAAGGTTAAATATTAAGCACAACATATTAGCTTGTCAAATAGTTTTATTCGTGACTTTTCAAGGCAGGTTTAACCCCTTAAGGACAAAACTTCTGGAATAAAAGGGAATCATGACATGTCACACATTTAAGGGGTTAAAGAATATGAGGAATGCATCCACTTGACACAGCAAGAGGGCCAGAATTGGCTGACAAATCACAGCCACTCCCTAATGATATTGAGGTTTTGCAGCAAATTATGATCTACACATCGGCGAAAGACTTAACCCTCTACACGTATCCTATAAGCGGGGATTATACCGCTGTACGCTATTCACACTAGAGCTGGCTTAAGCTCTACTAAACGTGAGTAACACTGTATTAGACTCTGTTGTTATATACACCATCTTTACCAGACGTACTGCCCTATCATCTGTCTTTCTCTTCCACATACGGAGTAAAAGACCAATACTTCTCTACGTATCCTACAAGCGGAGATTGTACCGCTGTATGCCATCCACACTAGAGCTAGTTCAGCTCTACTACACATGAGTAGAATTACCATAGATCTCTTCTTCCTGCACATCAACCGTCTCATCAGACATATTTGCACCATTATTTGTTTCTTTCTTTACATACGGATTCTGAAAAGCCATTTTCACGTGACCCTTAGGCCGTCGGTGCTACACCAGGCCCTACTAAAGACTTAGTTTTGGCACCACCTATATTTTGGACTTTGTTCATTCTCTAGCAGCACTTCAGTCAGCTTTGGCGCAACCTTCCTCTGTTTTGTCTTGTATATCATCTTTGTTCATAGGGCTTAGAGGGAACCCTATTTTAGGTTGCTGTCTCCTACTTTACCTATTTTTAGGATTGGTTTAATTTAGCGCTGTTTCCTTCTTTTGTATATTTCTACAAAACAAAGGATGCATAAGGAAATATATGTATAAAAAATAAATATGTAAAATAGAAAATATAATTTGTTATCTTGTTAGATACAGTAAAAATATTTTTGGAGACGAGACGTATAAATACCTATTATGACTCAAAGACAATAAAGTATATGTCGTTATCAGTTTTATTGCTATCATTACCTCCAAGAGATAACTGCTTTTTACTAATAATAGACAATCACAGCAATAATCACAGCTACCAACTCAAAATATATTCATTATTCAGCATCATTATCATTCTACTATACGCTGTAATATATTTTGACAAGTGATACTATATGTTTAGCAGAACATGCATTGCATAATATGTTATTTACTTTGCATTATTGATCATACTTTCCTATGAATAACCTAGATAACTTGTTCATTAGTCAATTTCTCATCATTTTCCAGGGGAGAAATTAGATTCCAAAATGCACCCACAGTGCACTCGTCCACTCATAGCTCCTACGTCTCCACCCCTGAGTCAGCTGGGAGTGACGAATCATTATTTAAAAATAAATGGGTAACACACACACATGCATACAAATTGGTTACAACAGTGTTAATGCATCTGCCTTTCCCGATTCCTTAAATGTCTCCCTCCGCCTTTACTTGTCATCCCCTACCTCCCATTCAAGTCAAGACGTGCAATTTGCCAAGTTTTGTCTGAATTCAATCAAATTCTGCAATTTGGAAGCGTCCAAATTTCTAAATTCATTTTCAGAAGGATAGCATATTAGGGACTTATATAATAAGCAGTTGAACAATCAAAATTAAGAAAAGAGCTTAATGTTTGTATTACAGCTGTTTAGTAGATAGCACCCTTACATATATATTTAGGTATATTTAGAATACCAAATTAGAGAGCTACAGTTCCTTTATTTGGTACCCTTAGGTTGCATTGCCACATTTAAGGATATTAAATTAGGGATATGAAAATGAAAACAAGGGGAGGATCGGAGGTAGAGACTGTTTCAAACCGCACGAGCCTGACCTGTAGAAATGGAGGAGCAACCCATAAGTAAATGATTAAAAAATAAACTTCACTAAGTATAATATAATAAAAAAAAAAAAACACATGTGGGTTTAAAATTAGTTGCAAATAAATATAACGAGCCCTAAATGCTAAAGATAATAAATGATGCTAACAATAAGAAAAGTAACCAAAAAGTGGATATTTCTGAAAAGGGAGGGGGAAGGGATATAAGTATTGACTGCAAGATTGCAGACAGAGGGTAAATGCTGGGAAGGTAGGAGGATTAACAGGGAAAGGACTGTAAGACAGATATCTATGCACTAATGTGCCTTTAAGGGCACCCCTTAAAAATATCTAAGCCTCCCAGACACGTGTCACATAAAGTTAACCAAACCTCTTTCCCACTCACCCTCAGCAAAACAAAAAAAAAAAAAAGAAAGAAAGAAAAATAGATAGATAGAAGTAAAGATCTTATGCTAAAATCACAGTGTGGTGTCTTGTCTAAATCTTAGAATATAGCTGCAGCATCATCCCTAGTCTCACTGCCAAGCACTGCTCAATCTGTCCCGACGTGCGTTTTGAGAAATAATGGCTCTAAAAGGCTCGTGAGGTTTGAAACAGTCTCTACCTCCGATCATCCCATTGTTTTCATTTTCATATTCATTATTAGGGGTTACCCCCCAATTCCATTAGCAACCTGACACATTCTCTCTGCTTATATCAACCCAATAATTATTATATTAGGGAGCTGCAATCACACGTAAGGGCCACCCGATGGACCCTATATCTTCAGGGGCCAGGTCAGCGCTGTGGCCGTGGTATAGCGCGAACGGGCCCCTTAAAAACAAAAAAAACACAGCCACAAAGTACTGCAGGGAGGAAGTGGTCACTTCCTCCGGGCACACACCGTGCGAGAGAAGTGCGCCCGGCAGTGAGGGAGAGCCGTGCCGACTCCCAGTCCCATCAGCCCCAGCCACCCTCCCGCAACGAAAAGGTAAGAAACAGGAGGGTGGCTGGAAAATGAGCTGTGTGTGTGTGTGTGTGTGTGTGTGTGTGTGTGTGTGCGCGTGTGTGTGTACATGAATGCATGCATCTATGTCTGTATGTATGTCTGTATGTCTGTATGTCTGTGTGCATGTATGTTTGTCAGTATGTATGTATATATGTCTGTATGTCTGTCAGTATGTATGTATGCATGTATGTCATTATGTATGTATGAATGTATGTCTCTATGTATGTATATATGTATGCATAGGCGTGCGCACGGGGTGTGCCGGGTGTGCCTGGGCACACCCTAATCAAGCCTCAAAATTGAGGCTCTCTCACCTCCGTGCTGCACTGCCGTCTGCCGCCCCAGTTTGTCTCCTAATCCAATCCTTCACTATGCGAGCGGAAGCGCCGCATAGTGAAGGACGGACTTGCTCCTCCCTCAGACCTCCCCTGTAATGTACGCGTTCGCGTACACGCGTTCCGTGACGTCACGCAGAGGCGGAGTCACAGCAACGCAAGGGTGAGGCCCAGCCGCAGTGCCAGAGGAGAGGGTGCAGAGCGGAGCACAGGCCCAGCGTTTTTTCCCAGGAGGGGTTCCGGGGCGGGCGGCTGGCTGGTAAAGTAAGTTTAAATTTGATTGATTTTTTTCATGAGGCTGCAGGTTTGATTTTAGCAGGTCCGGCTATGTTATTTATAGTTCTGAGATTGAGAATAAAATAGATATAATTGACACCTGCATTTGAGAACATACTTGAGAATTGAAGGATTTCAAATTTATTTCTTAATAAATATTATGTAATTTATCATTATTCTGGAATGTTACAGCTCCATACTCTGACATATAAAATACTTGCAATATACATGGCAGTTCTGAATTATTTCTCTTTAAAACACTAAGTGCATTTGATTGATTTTGCTCAATTTACTGGTGGATGTGTTATTGTATATTGTAGTTTTACTTGTATAATGTCCTTCACAATGCAAGTGCACAATGCCTATATATAATAGACAACACATGTGCTAAAACAGTTTCCTTCAAAGCACTGGCATTAACTACTATACAGCCAGGATTCTCCATTCTCATGTATGCTTCTTCAATGCTAGAAGAAAAAATGGCCAATAGTTAAAATAGAAAAATAATTTAAAAAAAATGAGTGTGTTCAATTGTCCTAACTTGTATCCAGATTCAAAAAAATGTCTAAATACATAACAGCCATGTGTAAAAGCATGGCTGTGAGTGACTGACTAAATATTACATAATTTACACACACTACACTATACTACAACATTTACACACACTACAACCTCACACAAACACACACTCTGCAGTCACTACACACACTCTGCCGTCACTACACACACACACACACTACATCTTTACACACACTCTGCCGTCACTACACACACTACCTTTTTTTTTTTTTTTTACTTAAAAACACAATCTGCAGTCACATCACATGTCAATTAAAAGACTGAATCAGTGAGCTTGCATGTTCCTTCCTTGACATCGCATAAATGCAAAGTCCACCCACTTAGCAATAAAACATGGCTGCTTAGACATTACTGAGCAAGCCTATGCTCCTCAAAATCAGTATAGGTAGTATTATACCCTTCAAATATAAAGGGGCAACAGATAGCAAAAGCTATGTTTAAGAGATAAGAATAAAACTTAAGAAAATGCAGATAATAATGATAATTATTTTAGCTTAATGATGATTATACACCCATTGTTTAATTGTGAAGCAGAGCAGAATGCTCATAAAAATAAGAAAATAATAATAATCGAGTATCAAAGAATAACGTCACAGAACAAATTTCAACAAGGGAAGCATGAAGCACGTTTTACCTTTTAGATACACTGCTCGTAACAAGAGAAGACTTTATATCTGGCCATTGTTTCATTGTTCAACAGACAAGTACAGGACAAAGAAGTGGAGGAAGAGGACAGCAAGAGAGAAATAGAATGAATCATACAAAGTGGAATGGAACTTATCAGTAAGTGTACCTAGGGCCGGTGCAAGGTTTTGAGCTACCCAGGCAAAGATTGATTTTGTTGGTACCCCCCCTCTTGAATTTCGTACTCCTTTTGTGTTTCTTAGTCCCTCCTTTGTGTCGTACAACTCTCATTAGTGTATCTTATCCCTGATTGTGTGTATCTAGGGTCGTAGCGCCGCGGAATTAGTCTTCTCCCAGAACTGCAGAGCGGCGTCAGTCACCTGTCTCACAGCCTTTCTTCCCTGATCCCTGAGCCTGCTGGTGTCTTCACAACAACTGAAGACTTTTTGGACTTTCAGTCTCAGATCACCCCTCTCAACGACTTGTACTATCTGGAGGTAAACTGCAAGGATAGATACACTCTGTACGGCACTGACACATTAAAGGGCCATCACATTGTACCATTGCTATGCATTCAATGTGCCATGTCCAATTAATGTGCCATGTTCATCAATAAATGTGCAATGTCTTATCTGTCAATACTGTGCTCTGTATGGGTGGCAGTAAGTTGTTCAATCGTTTAGTGATCATGTAATGGCACACTGGTGGCACACAGCTACTCATATCTGTGCAGCTGGCCATCATTCAGATTAATCATGCAATTCTATAAGGGGAGCTATTACTTGTTTGAGAGGGTAAGTGGTTGGAGAGGGGAAGGGAGGGAGGAGGTGGGAGGTTAGTACAGTACTATCTGTGCAGTGATACTCATTCACTGCACATTAAAAGCCACAGTCACACTCCACATCAAGAAGGGCACTGTAGTGCTTAGCGGACCAGGGGGAAGTGATCTTCACTGGCAGCATTAATGCTTAATGCTATCAGGTTATCCCTCTAGCCTATCCTCTGTTACATTTTTATATATAGATTATCATTATGTACTTTATAGGTACTTTATAGGTATAATATAGGTTATTTTTGTCTTCATAGGTTATGAACTCTTGATATATTTGCCTCATTGTGGATGTCCAGAGTGATACGTCTGTCTGTTAATTCGTCAGTCTGTTTAAATCTTAACCAAGATTTATCGAACATATTGAAACACAGTCCACTATCCTGAAAACAATAATTGTGATATACAGAATTTCAAAATATGGATCGGTTTGTTATCAAGAAACCAAAAAAAGCCAACACCTCAGTCTCGGTGGTTAACACTGTGCCTGAGCATGTTGCTGCTAAAAGTGCAGAAGAAGATATTTCTGTTGGTTCCGATCAGTGCAGTTTACACTCAGAAAATGTACCAATTGATGACGTAGTGTGTAGCAGTGTATTACAAGCTTCAAGTCTTGATGAAGCTGAGGATGTTATTTTTTTTAGTTCAGAACAGAGCTCATATTCAAAGCCATCAGACATACAAACTGATGAACCAGAACCAATGTGTAGTTCCAGTGAGTGCCAAGCAGCAGGTCATGACCAAACAGAAGACCTTACATATTTTAGTTCAGGTCTTTCAAGTCAGAGTACTTCATATTCAAAAAAGCAATCAAACATAGCAGCTGATGATCCAGTCTGTAGTATTCCCCAAAACAGATTTGAACGCCAGAATCGAGTAGCTAGAGGCCCCTATCAGCCAAAACTGAGCATGTTTCCGAGAACTAAAATAGGGAATAAAGAAAGAAATTTTCAGAGTGATTGGTATGGAAAATACAGGTGGCTCGAATACAGTCCAGCAAAAGATGCAGCATTTTGTTTCTACTGCCGTTGCTTTTCTTCTAATGATGCAACACAAAAAGGTCACGCTGATCCAGCCTTTATTGAAAAGGGATTCAGAAACTGGCACAGGGCTAATGAATGTTTTAAAACTCACCAACAATCAAAATCTCATATGCTGAGCACTTCTGCGTGGTCAAGCTTTAGTGAAGGAAAACATATTGATGTGTTACTAGATGAGAGCAAGAAAGTTTATCTGTCAAAAAAAGAAGAAGAAAGGTGCAAGAACAGAAATCTTATGAAGCGACTGATTGACATTGTTCGGTGTTTGGGAACAGGTGGCAGACCATTTCGAGGCCACAATGAAAAAGCCGATAGCCACGAGAGAGGTTTATTTCTAAATATTGTCAAGCTACTAGAAAAATATGATCCTGTCATGCAAAGACATTTGCAAGAATCTCCTCGAAATGCTACATATCTGAGTAACCGCATCCAGAATGATTTAATTATGGCCTTACATAATATTGTGCAACAAAAAATTGTGTCAGCAATAAATGGAAAAATGATCTCAATAATTGCAGATGATACTGCTGACTGTGGACACCATGAACAGATGTCTGTTGTAGTACGATATTTTAATAATGAACAGCAAAGTCCAGTTGAGCATTTTGTTTCAATTCAAAGGCTTTTAAAAGTTGATGCTCAGTCGATTTTTGACCAAATAAATAATGTTCTTGAAATTATTAAAACCGACTGGTCATCGGTGATCTCTGTGTGCTTTGATGGAGCATCTACTATGTCTGGGTGCACTGCAGGTGTTCAGATGAAATGTAAAGAAAAAAACCATGAAATACTCTATGTACACTGCTATGCACATTGTTTAAACCTTGTCCTAGTTGATGCATGCACCTCAAGTAGACAAAACAGAACAGTGTTTGACTTCTTTGGCATTATCCAGACTCTTTATGCCTTCATGGAGGGAAGTCCTGTGAGACATGCTGTAATGGAGAAGATTTCTCAAGAAGTAGGAACTCAGCTGAAGACTCTAAAGTCACTGTCAAACACAAGGTGGGCATGCAGAGCAGAAGCAGTGGCTGCAGTAAAAGAAAACTTCTCGGTTATTTTACAGGCCTTAAATGAGATCATTGAATCAAGTCGCTTAGCTGATGCTAAAATAAAAGCAAGAGGTCTTATTTGTGAATTAAATTCTTTCAAGTTTATCTTTGCTCTGCACATGATGCACCCTATTCTCCAAATGGTGGTAAAAGTTAGCAAGACTCTGCAAGCATCAAATCTCAACTTGCTTACTGCAATGACAGTGGTGAAAAGCCTGCGCAACTCCTTGGTTTCCATGAGAAGTGAAACAGATTATTTTCAGTCCATTTTCCATGACTGTGAAAAAAAGTGTGCCGAAAATAACATCGCCATTCCCCCAGTTAGGAAGAGAAAACCTTCTGTCCTTCTTGATGAAGCAGCAGCACAGTCTCAGTATCACTATGAAACAAAAGAGGAGCAGGAGAGGATAACTTCATTTTACCCACTATTGGATTCATTGATAACTGGTATTGACCAGCGATTTGAACAGGAGTCGTGTGATATTGTAACAGCAGTAGGAAAACTGCTAAACTTGGAGATTCCTAAAGGTGACATACAAATCCTTGCCAACAAATTTAAGGTGTCAGTGGATGAATTGGAAGCAGAAGCCAAACTGCTAAGGGAGTATGATGGACCTACTCCTAAAGGTTGCACCACAAATACCATCAAAGAGTGGCTTGATTGGTTTAAAGAATCAGATTGATCCAACACATTTAATGCTTTTTATAAGTGTGTTCAGTGCTTTACAGTGTTACCTGTGACAAGCTGTTCGTGTGAAAGAGCCTTTTCAAAACTGACACATGTAAAAACGAAACTGAGGAGTACAATGTCCCAAGAACGCCTGGATGCACTCATGATATTATATATTGAGCAAGAATTGGCTTGGTCGGCTACTTATAACGAGATCATTGAAGAATTTAAGTCCATAACACCTTCTGTGAGACGTCTTCTTCTCTAGAGCGTAAAGAAGACCAATCCATAATAGTCTGTAGGCGTCCTGACAACTTTACTGATGCCAAATTGGTTGAAGCAACATTTTGATTTAGTTTCTGTTGTAAAAATTCCCATGTACCATGCACTTTCTGTGAAAATGTTTACTTAGATTTGTTACAGTTATAACAGCTTATTTATTTTAAATGTTTTTTTTAAGTTAAAAAATGTGAAATGTTTGTTTACATTGCTAAATGCTTAATTAATAAAAAAAAAGTTTTAATAGTTTTTAAATGTTTGTTTATATTGATAATTATATGAATGCAGGTCTGTATGTATGTATGCAGAGTGCATTTGTGTATGTGTGTGTGTGTATAGCTATATAGATAGATATATATCTATCTATATAGCTATACACACACACACGTGTGCCTATGTATGTATGTATGCCAGTATCAATGTATGTCTGTATGTCATTATGTATGTCTGTATGTCTGTCTGGATGTATGTATATATGAATGTATGTCTATATTATAAATATTATAAATATCATAATAATATGTCAGTATCAATGTATGCCTGCATGTCATTATGAACATATGTCTGTGTGTATGTGTGTATGGATGTCTGTATGCATGTATGTCAGTCTGAATGTATGTATGTCTGTATGCCATTATGAATGTATGTCTGTATGCCATTGTGAATGCATGTGTGTATGGATGTCAGTGTCTGTATGTCTGTATATATATGTATGTATGTCTGTGTGTATGTATGTCGGTGTCTGTATGTATGTCAGTGTGTATGTATGTCTGTGTCTGTATGTCCTCATGCATGCGTGTCTGTATGTATGTTAGTATGTGTCTGTCTGCCACTATGTATGCCTGTGTGTCTGTATATGTGTGTATGTCTCAGTATGTGTGTGTCTGTATATGTGTGTATGTCTCAGTATGTGTGTGTCAGTATGTATGCCTATATGTGTGTATGTCTGTTTCAGTATGTGTGTCTGTTAGTATGTATCTGTGTGTGTGTATCTGTGTCCTTTTGTATCAGTGTGTGTGTGTGTGTTTGTGTCTGTGTGTGAGATTTGGAGGCAGACCCTGTGGGCGGGATTGGAGTCAGGGGCCCCAAAATTTCTGGTGGCGGCCCTGCCTTAACATATCTATCCTACGTAGCTAACTAGCTAACTTCCCAGCTATAGTTCCACTCATCAAATCCAATGAGTGAAACTGCTCAGTAAGATTATAACAGCTGCTATCAGTTTATTTAAATGCTATCCGTTTATTTAGTCTTTTTCATAGTTTTGAGCTGTTCACAATGCTGAATTTTGCTTAGGACTGTGCATGTGTATGTCCTGAAGCTCAGGCTATTTCTGAGAGAGGCGAGACTCATAATTTTATATGTGCTAGAGGTGACAGTTTGGTAGCTGGAATGATTTATGCAAATCACTGCAGTTATAAGCCACAAGGACACAATAAAATATAGCATATATTTGGCATATAAGATTTTAAGGTGGTTGTGTCCCTCTAACCATTTAATTAAATATTTAGAAAATGCTGGTTCTTCACCGTAAATAAGGGTAGCAAAACCATATCAACCAGAAGAAAGTGTGAAGCTTTTCCGATCTCAATATATATAATTCAGTCTTAGCTAGGAAAAAAATAGGAATTTCCACGAATTAAAAGGGTTGTTAATGTTAGTATAAAACAGCCAAACTGGAAAAGAATACAAAATTTATTATTTCACAGCTTGGCTATTTTTGTCATATTTTACTTCTTCCATGTGACTGTCACTCAAATTCCTGTTAAGTAAGAAAGTATAAGTTTAGGGTGTCAGTTATCCATTAAAGGACCACTCTAGGCACCCAGACCACTTCAGTTTAATGAAGTGGTCTGGGTGCCAGGTCCAGCTAGGGTTAACCCATTTTTTTTATAAACATAGCGGTTTCAGAGAAACTGCTATGCTTATAAATGGGTTAATCCAGCCCTCAAATCCTCTAGCATTGTAAATGCTTTCCTATGAGACTGGATGAATGCGCGCGCAGCGTTGAGCGGAGAGGCTTGTAAGTGTCACCCCAGAGATTTTAAATGTATCGATCCGTTTTTGCCTGGTTCATCCTCTTATACACATTTGGAAGGAGAAAGCTGTACCACCAAAAGGCATCGACATCGGACTGGTTTTAAAGGGAACTTAACCCATGAGGGGTTGACAAGCTCATTTGCACAATTTGATATAAGTCACTTTGTGCCATCATCTTTGTGAGTGTATATATTTTTATTTTATCATTTTACTGTGCCATTAAATACTTCACTATATATGCTTTTTTCCTTTTTATATTTTTTATGTCTTCCATTGAATATGTATGGTAACTATATACACGTTTTGTGACTGTGGCGCCCCCATTTGGTATACCTTTTTGGGAACTATACCTTTTTTGTAATAATGATACAAATCCCCTTTAAACACCACCCACACTTAACCATAATCCTTCCCAAACGTCAATGTTTCTCTTTTTGTACCTAAAATACTGCTGTACTTATGACAGGTTTATAGGAGCTATCATTCAATTGTTGGCTTTCTTCGTGTCCTTACATAGAGCTCGACAATCGGTCTTTTTAAGGAATGCTATTAAGGTCAGTTTATTTTGGCCAAACACAATATTATTCTCTGTAGTTGGTTATTAGTCAATAGTGCAAATATAGTCAGACTCACTCTAGCTTAATGTTGTGGTTCTGGTGTCTATATCCTGTCCCTGCTATGTAAATGCTGCCTTTTCAGAGATTTAATGTATCTCTCTAGGGAGATGCTGATTGGCGCAGAGCTGAGAGTAGGCTCAGAGTGCAGTTGTGATGGTGTTTAGAGTGATTATTAAACAGCTGTGAACTGAATTTTTACTGTGACTTCCTTAACAGCTATTTGATAAGTGAAACCACGGTGAATTGTTTCTTTCTTGATATTTTTTATTCTTTCAGAAGTATGAAGAAAGAAAATACGCTGCCAGAATGACAAAACCATATGGTTCTCAAGCATGAAATGCATTAAAGTTTTACAATGGGAATTTACAAGGGCACTTAGCAGCCACTTGTGGGAAAATGAAATTATGTGCTGTATTTGATGGAGCTATATGCCAACATGTATGACGTTTACACAGAGTTATGGAGGAAATTGAACAATGTGCTGAGATACAAATATCTTGTCCCATTTTTGTTAGCGAGTGTAATATGGAGATCTGTTTCCCTTAACCTGGTGAAGAATGGTAGTGATTGACATGGTCTGGAAGGAGGCACATATCTAGAAACCACAGGGACCCAGTTCAGGGTGCTCCTACTCAGCTTAACCCCTTAAGGATCAAACTTCTGGAATAAAAGGGAATCATGACATGTCACACATGTCATGTGTCCTTAAGGGGTTAAATGTTGTGTGTGAGTGTTGGCTAAGTGTGGCAAGTGTGGAGCTGGCTGAGTGTTTTTTTTTTGTGTGTGCATGCCAAGTGGCTGGCTGAGTGTGATGTGTGTTTATGTAGCTGTCTGAGTGAGATGTACTTTGGGTTGGCTGAATTTGATAGGAGTGTGATGTGTACGTTTGTGTGAAGTGTGTGGGTTGGCTGTGGAAGGAGGTTCGAGGATATCACCCCATTCTTTTATTTGTAGTTATTTAATAAAATGTTTTTTTCTTGTTTTTATTTTACCCTTTCTCCGGTTTACCTTTTTGCAGGATAGGGGCTATAATCAATGATGGTCTAGCAGAACTATGATCCCTGATGGTCTAACTTTTGTTCCCATAGAATCCCTGGTGGTTCACATAAAATAATAATAATAATAATATGGGGAGCGTATGGGATGCACCTTTGGCTGATGCAGACCAATGTAAACTCTTTTATGCTCAGCGCTCAGTTAATAAATGAGAGCATTGCCATGGTAAACTCTCATTTACTGGCTCATTTACTGAGAGCTGGGACCGTAAGGGAGAGTATAATGTGGTCTGCACCCACTGAAGACTACATACTCCTTAGTGGGTTTAATTGTCATTTACTGTATAATAATATATATTATATAATATATTAAAAATTAGTTTTTCAAGGGGGGATAACCGCCCTGCCTCCTCTCGTGGTTGTTAAAATTAGATTCCCCCCTGGTTATTACAATTAGTGCCCTCACCTGCCACCAATGATTGGGGTCTTGTGGGGACAAAAGGTCCCCTCTGGGTAATTAAAATTAGATGCTCATGGGTGGGGATTGGGAGTACATTGGGTCTCCTCTGTTAATTTTAATTTGATCCCCCACCTGCAGAGCAGGGTTGAGGGCAGTGGGGGTACATTAAGGCCATAAATGTGCTTTCGAAGAATTTCTGGGGTTCAGCTGCTAGAATTTCAGCTGGCATTAAAGCTATGTTTAGTAGTTGGAATTAAATTGAAGCCTATGTCTGAGAACGGTGTGAGCCAGCAGGGGAAGGAAGGGAGAGTATACTATGAGACAGAAATATCCAGCACACCTTATCTTTGTGATGTTGTAATCTCTTTATGGTGACTTCATCTGGTCTTTATTGAGTCATTGTTGCACAGTACAGACCCATTGTGTCATTTTATTATGCGAAATCTGAAGCTAATAATCTAAATTTACATTTTTACATTCTGTGTACAGTGTGATTAGAAATGCAATCACGTTAAGAGGAAATTAACAATGTCAAAGCAAACAAAAAATAGTCCCATGCAAATTAGAACCCTAGAAGCCTCTGAGAAAGAAATATTGATTCAAAAATGTATACAAAGATGTAACT